CTCTCTCTCTTTCTCTCTCAAAATAAATAAATAAAAAACAAACAAAAAACCTCTTCCTTTAGACCATATGAACGTTAATGATTTCTAAAAAATTTCCATTCTCCTGAAACATAACATCTAAATCTAAAAAAATAGCATAATGTCTTACTTGGGTTGTCTATAAACCACAATCTATACTACTTAACGGTCCATGTGGAAGGCTTTCATTACATATTGCTAATGATAGGATTTATAGCCTTTAATCCTCTTTACCATTTGCTTTTGTCTAGATTATTTCAAATTCAGTTCACATTAAAACTCTACTTACTTCTTCATTTTGCGGGGTTGCAGGAGGCCTTTCTAAATCCAGAAAATCTAGCGGTCTTTCACTTAGTGTTAGTACACGAGGCGGGGTTTTCAGTGCCAGAGGTTTAAAAGGAGTTGACTGTATAAGGTCAAGATCCGCTGGTCTTGCAAATGGAATGTCTTCATTATTTCCTAGGAGTAACGAAATAGAAGGGAAGGAGGTTTTAAAAAGAGAGTGGTTTTATTAAAGACTATCTGCCATTACACACCCCCTAGAATGTCTAAAATGAGAAGACTGATGGTACAAAGTGTTGGCAAGGGTGTGGAGCAGTGAAAACTTTCATGCATCACTGATGGGAATATCACAGGGTACATACAATCAGTTTCACAAACAGCATGACAGTTTTCCATAAAGTTAAACACAATTTACAATATGACCTAACAATTCCACTCCTAGGAATACGAAAACCCACGTCCTCACAAGGACTTGTATGGCAACACTCACAGCAGCTTTAATCCTAACAGTCCCAAACAGGAAACAACCCAAATCTCCATCCGTAGGTGACTGGATGAACAAACTGGGGTGTATTCACATAGTGGAATGCTACCCAGGAGTAAAACGGAACGAACAACTGATGCATGCAAGAACTTGAAAGAGTTTCAAAAAGCCTGGAACTGAGGGGGAGGAACTAAATGAGATGGGGCACAAGGGTACCTTTCAGGGTAATGAACATGTGCCATAGCTAGACTGTGGTGGACAGTTACAGGAGCATATACGTTGGCCAAAACTCATCGAGCCGTATGCTTAAAAGTCACACATATTTTTTTTTTTAATTTTTTTTCAACATTTATTTATTTTTGGGACAGAGAGAGACAGAGCATGAACAGGGGAGGGGCAGAGAGAGAGGGAGACACAGAATCGGAAACAGGCTCCAGGCTCTGAGCCATCAGCCCAGAGCCCGACGCGGGGCTCGAACTCACGGACCGCGAGATCGTGACCTGGCTGAAGTCGGACGCTTAACCGACTGCGCCACCCAGGCGCCCCCACACATATTTTATGTATGTAAATTATGTCAACTGGTTGCATTATTAAAAAATATTGTTTGAAATTTCGGCCTATTAGGACAGAAATTTTGCAAATACTGCCAAGTTGTATTTCCCAGCCCCTTTCCTAAACAATAGTTTGAAAGACCCAGAAGTTTTCATAAAAAGCCAAAAAACAAAGCTTTATCCGGCAACTTTACAAACAAAACGTCAGGTACCTGCCACAACGATCCTCTCTGGAACCTGCATAACGACGCTAGCATTCGGAGCTCCTTCTTGGAATCCTTGCTCCAGATCAGCATTTGGTGGCGCTACCTTTAATCTTTCCGGGACCCTCATCTGCTGACTAATACCTTCGGTGTATTCCATTTCATACTGAATTCGACTAATTTCCGCCATCTCAGCAGCGCGGGGAGAAGGAAATGCTGCCCCACTCACTCTGTGGGCAAGAATTTAAAGATGGGAGGGGGTGTGTGACCACATGTTACGATGCCAGTCTTCCTAACACGGCCAAGTTAGAAGACAGTACCTTGTGGGAAGAGCAGAAAGGGCCTTCTCTTTTGCAAGTACAGAACACATACAAAGCAAAAACAAAAGAGCGAAGAAAACAGTTTCCTCAACAGAATGCCTTCTCACTTTATCAGCTGAATTGGCACCTTGAAGACACTGCTTAGGAGCAAGTTTTTAAATCAGTGTATAACCACAAAACAAATGCGCGTGCACACACACACGCACACATGCACACACACACACTTCCTCTCTTTCTCTCTGCAAGATATGCATGCTGCTTATAATTCAAAAATGTCTGAAAGAAAACTTAAATTAAAATCTCCTAATCAATCATTTGACAGAAAGCTGCTAGGATTTTCCAAAAATGAAATGAGAAATTGCTGTCATGCATGAAAAAAATAAAACCTTTTAATGATGAAAATCAGATTCATAAAGTAAATAAGGCTAATTCTCAATTTACTTTAAAAAACGTAGTCCCCTAAAAAGCACAAAATACAAACTAAAACTTCTTTTACTAAATGTATACCTGGTGACCGAGATGCAATGAACATCAAATATAGACTCTGTAGCAATAAATCCTTAACGGATGCATTCATTTTGGGGGAATCAGAAGCTTCACATTTATGTGCAATTAATACTGTATTTACATGTATATTTTTAAAAAGCATAACATGCCTTTAAGGGGAGAGACAGTACCGACGCATGGAATAACCTTCTAAATTAGAGAAGGACCCATGCTTCGGGGAAATGCCGAAGAAAGTTCCCCCCATACACAAAGTGCTGGTGAAAGTATAAAAGATCAGCCTATGGCGATCAGCTTTCAAGCCACAATCTCTCAAGCCTATAATAGCAGCTCAACTGAATAAAATGCCACTGACCTTCCTACTGGTATATCACTGCTTGTTCTTTCACTCATTTGCAACACAGTACATACACATCTGGAATAGCTATTAAAATATTGCTACCCTGTGGTTCAGTTTACTTTATGCAACAATTCCCCTAGAGATCTGAACTTTTTTGGAGGTGAACATAACAACACCAAGACTGCTTTTCCAGCTGTAAAAAAGAAAGAATAAAGATCAGTATTTCCACAGTTCATTTTATTACAAAAAAAAAAAAAATGAATAAAAGTAAATATCCACTTAAAATGATCTACTAAGACCTGATCCACAAAACCACTTTTCACATTTCTACTAAACAGTTATTCTATGTCTGAAAAATCATGAAGATGGTTTTATGCACAGTCACTATTTTATGATTTTGCAAACGGGATAAAGCTAATCAAATATATAGAAGAATGTGAAGTCAGATTAAAAACAAACGTCTTGCCATAAAACTCCTTTAATCGTTATATTCTGAAGGGGAATAAAAGTCCTTTCCTTTTTTAAGACAAGCACAACACAAATGAAGAAATCACGACGAGAATGTAAAGGTCAGAAGTAAATGTACTTGACGTGGCCTAAAAAACCGATGTAGAAGTAATGGTTTCTTTAAAAGGAAATGACTTCAAAAGCCAAAATATACTGAATTTTCAGCAAAAAGTATTATATATAAATCAAGGGCAATAACAATTAAAGACCGTTATACCTGGGGTAATTAAAGGCCAGTCATACCTGGGGTATCTCCTAACCTGCATGTCAGAGATATGTTACTACCCTTGACCAACCTCACTCAATGAGACGCTGAGGACAGTTCTTGGAGGTTGCTTAGGGAGCAACAAGTTACTTAGGGACAAGCGGTTAATTAGTAATTACGACTGCTAAACTGCTTCCTTTATTCTTTACCCAAAGGTGTGAACTTTGAGGATCTGGCATGCAGATGGCTCAAAGACTAAGAAAATAGAGGCAAAAGACAAAATTTTTACTCACAAATGTGTACCAGTGGCTGCTTGCTATTCGGCACTATCTGCTTCTGTGGTTCATATTAAATCCTTTAACTTCCTTCAAGGTGCCTATGCTGGATTTAGAGCCACTTTTGTCCCTAAGGGAGAAAAACAGGAGTTAATTGAGAAGCGACATGATACCAACGTTAGGGACGCATTGCTGGAAATCCTCTAAGTGATAAGTCACCAAAGATATACAACCTTACATTAAGAAGCCAATAATGAAAGAAAAAATTAACAAGCTCACCACCAAGTTTAGTCCCACAGCCAGGGCCCTACAACCATTCATCAGTTAGTGCAAGATAAAATAAAGAACTGTCATCATTTCTGATGTGAATTTAGAAAGATGTGGCAGATGAAAAGCATTTAAATATAAAAGAATCTTAACAATTATGTGTAAATGCATATACACATATAAAGAAGGAACAAATGTATCGGCTAAATTTTCATTCAGCTATTTTTATTCAATACGTAATTTAATTTCATATTTACTTAATTTCATTCACAACTTTCCTTCAGTGTTTGAATTTGAACCAGCAATACACGCACATGCAAGAACACACAGAGAAAATACAGTGTCCCACCAGATCCTATCCTATAACCACCCAGGTCCCCACGGGCAACCTCTGCTATCAATTTTTGTGCATCTTTCTAGAAGAGAACCTCTTGCAATTCTTGGGTGCAGCTGAAACACAGTAAAAGCTTATCTTCAACTATGATACAGAAAAGACATATCTCAAAAGGATTATCGTAATGTGACATTATAAATTGAAGTTTTATAATAATATGCAAGGGCCAAAGATAACCAAACAACATTATATCCCTGAAATGTGCTATTGGCCCCCCCCCCCCCCCTCCGTTTACTGCATTTCAGTCTTCTTACTGGCTTTCCACTGGTACATCCCACTGAGCCTCAACATTTCATTCTATAGCAACATCTGGTCTTAGGAGAATCTCTCAGTTTGTAAAATATCACAGACTTAGATCATAAAGGTAGACACTGAAAAGACAACTTCTGGAAAAAGCCACATTCTCCTGCAGCCTATCTGAGCTACCTAAATTTAAAAAGTAAATGGTCTGGGGTGCCGGGGTGGCTCAGTCGATTAAGACTCCGACTTCAGCTCAGGTCATGATCTCACAGTCCATGAGTTCAAGCCCCGCGATGGGCTCTGTGCTGACTGCTCGGAGCCTGGAGCCTGCTTTGGCTCCCTCTGTGTCTTTGGCTCCCTTCTGTCTCTCTCTCTCTCTCTCTCTGTCCCTCCCCTGCTCACACTCTGTCTCTCTCTCAAAAATAAAGATTAAAAAAAAAAAAGTAAATGGAGCTTTTCTAAGATTTAACACTGCACTGTCCTAATTAGATAAGAATCTATTTTTCCCCCCTCATTCATTAGACTATAGCATGTTTGGTATGTTTTGGCAATACATAAAATAAACTTCTCATTTGGAGCTAAGACACTAATTCCTGAGGTTCTGTAATTAGAATCTACTAGGCAACCGGTCCACAATTCTCCACTGTATAACTAAGGAGACCAAATCGCTCTTAGAATCATCGATGATCTTAGACCTCTGATTTCTAAGCCTAGTACTTCCCAAACACAAGTAACTTACCGATTTCATAGTTGTTTTCCACATTCAAACTATACGTTTTCTCTTATCCACACTTCATTCTTCCTTTATCTCAACTTTAAAAAATACTGAATAAATGTGTTTTGAAAGGAAATTTTACATAACTTCTTCAAACCACGGATCTGATGTATCTATACATACATGTAACAAAAACATAACTATTTGAAACAATCCTTATCCATATACTATCTAGAATCAAGTCAGACCCCACTCATGGAAAGTGTCCCAGTTTTGGGACACAATGATTCAAGCTTGACTTTAATCTCTGTATCAGAACACTGGAACCCAGAGAAACAGCCCAGGAAGTCACGGAAACAGCTTGGGTCAAATTGATTGTGGTTGCAAAGCTTTATAAAATGCTCCAATTATTTAAAAAAAAAAAAGTGTCTGGTTCTTTATCACTTATTGTGTGGACCTAGTTTAAGGTTTTTATATAGGTCACCCTGTTTCAGTTCTCTTTTCAAGCAACTAAACAAACGGGTGTATTAGCAAATCAGGGTGTAGCGATCCAGGATTAACTGCAGTGTTTAAAGAAATGTCACTGAAAACTTAAGAAAAACATAAATTATCAAATTTTAAAGTAAGGCTGTGCATCCACAGAAAACAAGTTTCAACACCAGAAGGGAGGAAAGCAAGAGCTAAACTGTGCAATCCTACAATGGGGCAGCCCTATCAGACAGGAAGGGACAGAACACACAATTTCCTTTTGGAAAGAACAGCAAAAAGCAATTCGCACGCGTTTGAAACCCAAAAGATAGCAGCTCCTACACATAATTTAATTATATGGGGAAAGACTACTGAATACAACCAAATCGTTCTAATTCTTTCCAAATCCATTTTCCTGAGGGTTTTTTTCCTTTGGGATCTCATTAGCCGACCAAATTGACAAAGAAACAATTTTGTTTTTTTGTTTTTTGTTTTTTTTTTTTTAATTTAATGTAAGGAGAGAAAAACATTTAAGGTCCTTCCGATCAAGTCTCTCAGTGTTTGCGAGGCTTGAATACAACTGGTTCTACATTTGGGAACAAGGGCCTGGGGCTTTTCTTATCTGCTGCAACCAAAAGATGCCACCACTTTGAAAGGTTCCTCATCCCTTACACAGCGCCCCTCGCTCTAACGACGCAGGACGCGGCCCGGGGTGTTCCTGCACCATCCAAGGGGCCTCGCCCTGCAGACCAAGGTCAGAGGCTCCGAGGAACAGGCGCTCGAGTTTTCCTCCGGCTTCCCAGCTCCTGGAAGGGAATCCGAGAAGCAACTCCCACCATCCACACCTGGGAGAAGGCTGCTTACAAGACGGACCCGGCCAAGGGGCCTCCCGCGGCCGACCAGCTTCCAACCAGGCCTTCCTTTGCGAACACGTCATTTTCCACAAAGTACAAACCAGAACCCAAAACTGTTAAGTCCGTAGGCGGCTGGTTCAAGGTCATACCGAAAGATGCCTCGGGGGCCTTGGCCGGGAAGGATGAGGGAAGACCACAGCAAAGCTCCGCGTTCAAGCTCTCGGGACGCCCCCAAGGTTTCTCAACCCCCTCCCCCAAACTATTTTCTAGCCAGGAAAGTCCACATTTGTGGTCAAAATGAGACCCCGAGCTAGAAAGGCGGGGAGAGGTTAGCCCGAAAAAGCTCGCAGGAGCGTGTGCTGCTCTCCCTTGAGCTCCTCGGGGACCGAGGAGGCGGCAAGGCCCCGAGGAGGAGGAGGAAACGCCAGAGCTCGGAGGTCGGGACTCGGAGCGACCCCATGAACGGGCCGGGGTCACCGAGGGTCCCTCCGCCGGCCGGATGGTCACGGCCGCGGCGCCAGGCCGAGAAGCCGGCTCGGGCCGCGGGTCCCGGATCGGGAAGGCATCAACACTCACCCCTGGGCCCGCTGGAGTGTCTCGGGCGAGGGCCGCCGCCCGCCGGCTCGGGGGGCGTTCGGGTGGGCGCTCCCAAAGGCCGTTGGCCGAGCGCACGGAGGCGCCCGGTCAAAGCACCGGCCGGAGCGGCCCACAGCGGGCCGGCAGAGACGCGAGAACGGCCGGGGCTGGCCCTTGCCAGGAACCGTAGCTGAGGCAGCTTCGTGGTCATGTGACACGGGGAAGGGCGGACGTGAGGCTCACGCACAGGAACGAGGGCAGTGCGACGGCGATACGGGGACATCTTTGTTGAGGGCAAAGAGCGCCAACCGCAGGCAACAAAGCAAGGGCGCGGTGCAAATTGGCTTCACGCTTAAACTTTATTGGAGTTGGTGATCTTCAAGACCCACGTGTCTACAAGGTAAATCTTCGGTAGCCACTTAATATGACTACTTTTCAGAACTATCTGCACCCAAATCTCTGTGGTGTGAGGCCTAATAATCTGTATATTTCGCCAATTCTGGTGGTGATCCACGCTCCAATTTTGATTTCTAGTCGAGCCCTCTAATTATTAGATGTCTTTCTTAACAGTGGCCCCTGCCCCGAGTGGCTCCTCCAATCCTTCAAGATGAGAATGCTGTTAAAAGAGAAGTTAGGACTCAAAGTAGTTAGCAGCCTTGTTTAGCTTTCGGAGAGCCCTCTCTGGATCTAAACCCCTAACTACTAACTTCGGGAAATTCAGTACCATACTCACCGACATTGGTACGGACTGAAGCAAATGACGGAATATTTTATATGCCTAGATTTTAACAAACAGCCCAACAAGGACATACACATGAGTAGGGACTACTGTAGAATCTAAAGATATTCCAGAGATGTTACCATTCTTCAAAATAATTTGGAAAGCACTTTGAGAATTAATGTACTTGGGACCCCTTCACAATACTGGCAAATCATCCTTCCGTAAGAATAGATACAAATGTAAATAACACATCTGTTTAGTCTCATCCTGTCGCACTAGTTCTAGCCAATTCTTCATAAGTGTCCTTTTGGAGTTTTGATCCCAACAGAGTTTCAAACTCAAATTTTCTCCCTCTTCCCAGTTCAGATACCTTCTCCTGAATTTTTTTTTTTTTTTAGTTCATGGCAAGATTATTTTTCCAGTCACCAAGTTTTAGTATATGTGCTGCCGAAGCGAGCACTCTAGTCACCAAGTTTTAAAACTCTGAAGCTCTGAAGTCATCTTTCACTGTCTCCCAAGCGCCCGCCCCCCCCCCCCCGCCCGCTTCAGATTCCCTCATCTTAATACCAACTGTCCACTTTCTCTGTCCATTCTTTTCCCCCTGCTAGACCATTACCCATCATCTGGGCTGATGACCTTTTAACTGGCCTCCCCATCTCTACAATCATTTTTCCCCTCTAATTCTTACTAGAGGCTGGCAAAGAACCTCATTTTACAAACTGTGACATCCCAAATTTGAAGCCCTAGGTTTAAAAGAAATTGATGATTTATAGTTCTCTACAATTCAGGAGTCCATAACAGCAATCCAGTAATTTTTGAAAACACTTGAAATTATGAAATAGCCTGGCAAGGGCAGTATATAAGACACTAGACCTTCTAGGTTACCATTTATATGATCATTTTCTTTTGTCAGAATCTTCACTGGCTCTTATACCAGCCAGTGAAGTACAAGTTCAACCTGGTATTTGAAAGTCTACCTAATATGGCCCTAACTCCTACTACTCCACTTTATTTACCACTGTTTGTGTATGTATGTGTATGTGATGTTTCCATATCCAGAGAATACATATATTCCATATGTTATGTATTCCATGTATATTCTTATATTCTATGTATTCTTGACCACAAATTATTCTCTGAGATAGCTCCATGCTTTCCTGCCTACCCTTATCCATGCTTTTCCTGACACCTGGAATGCTATCGTGCCTTTGACGACCTTTTGCTTCTTGGAATCTTAACTAGCCTTAAAGGACCACCTAAAATATTCCTTGTTTTGTAATTATTTCCTGAAGCCCCCAATTTTTGAATCACTATTTGTTGTTTCTTGTAACACTTATCACATTCTGTCCAGTATTATAATTAATCTATGTATTCGCCTTATTTTTTGTTCTGTGTTGAGATCACAGATGAAGTTCTGTGTTTGAGACCAAGGTCTGTGTCTCACTCATCTGGATGTCTTCTGTGGAGCCAAATAATCTTGAGCATCGTGTAGGTCTTGGGTATAAAGTAATAAGACCCATTTCCTGGTTTGGCTGACAAACTGTAATTCATGATAATTCCAAAGCAACAGTTCTACAAAGTCTTTGGGCAATGTCAGCATTTTTACCTTAGAGTCTGCAAACACCCCGAGAGAGAAGGTCATATTTATGTGAATGTTTAAGATTTAGTCTGGTTATACAACATCATTTACTTTTTACTCCGTGTTTGGTTGTTTCTCACTTTCCAGTAGGCAGAGCTGGGAATAGGGTGAGGTGACCTAGGCACTGTTAATACTCTGTGAGTGCCCTGTCAGTAGGTTGCTAAGAATCCGTTAGAGACTGATCACTATTTTCCTTCCAAACAGGCTTGTAAGTAGAGAGAGGACGGCCACTGTCATTCAATCCTCTAGTTGCCAGCAGTAAAAATAAGTTCATTTAAATAAACATTTTTTTTTTTTTTGGCTCAAAATATTTTCAATTTAGATTTTGGGTCCAGTTAAGAGAATACTTCTAAAATATGTATTTGAGCAAGAATTTTCTTTGTCTTAGAACTATTACTCAGGATTCCTGTTCATTCACCTTCTTCCTTTGATTATTCTGATTGCCATTTAACACAGCCTGAAAGTTCCTTACTTACAAAATTTCATATTTTGCATGTGAAAAGCATTCCTCTTTACTGCTTCTTTACATTTAAAATTTTACGAATATGTTCCCTTGAATGAGGAGTTTTTGTATTATCAATGGGAAACATCAAAACCTATGACCCATAATTTCGGTAATCTATACATTTTCTTAACTGATTTGTAAAAATTTTTTAAACACCCTAATAGAAAACGAGCAAAGATATGATCAGGCCCTTCACAGGAAAACAAAAACAAGCACTAATAAAAAATACTAATAACAAAACAAATATCCATTAAATGTGACAAATCACTGGTAGTGAGAAGAATGTAAATTAAAATGGGATAGGCAGAATTGTAAAGTAACAGCAATACCCAGAATTGGTAAAAGCGTAAGGAGATGGGTGTTTACATTGTTGATAGAGCTTGAAATTCTCACAACCTTCCTGGAGAACATTTTGTATGTATATCAAAGACCAAGATTGTGGGAGTCCTTTGATGCTATAATTTTCCTTCTAGAGATTGATCCTGAGGAAGTAACAGTAAAATTGAAATGAAATACTTACAATAGGGGGTGCCTGGGTGGCTCAGTCAGTTGAGTGTCCAACTCTTGATTTCAGCTCAGGTCATGATCCCAAGGTCATGGGATCGAGCCCCACGTTGGACTCCACATTGAGCATGGAACCTGCTTGAGATTCTCTCTCTCTGTCTCTCTCCCTCTCTCCTTTTCCCCCTCTCCCTCCTTCTGCCCCTCTCCCCTGCTTGTGTGCTCTCATTCACTCTCTCTCTAAAAATTAAAGAAAAGGGGCGCCTGGGTGGCTCAGTCGGTTAAGCAGCTGACTTCGGCTCAGGTCATGATCTCGCGGTCTGTGGGTTCGAGCCCCGTGTTGGGCTCTGTGCGGACAGCTCAGAGCCTGGAGCCTGTTTCAGATTCTGTGTCTCTCTCTCTCTCTGACCCTCCCCGTTCATGCTCTGTCTCTCTCTGTCTCAAAAATAAATAAACATTAAAAAAAAATTTTTTTTTAATTAAAAAAAAAAATAAATAAAAATTAAAGAAAAAAAAGAAATATGTACAATATATTCATAATAAAACTAAATCAAGTGTCCACCAATTGGGGATTCATCGACCTATGTAGTAAATCCATGCAATGGACTGTGGTGTAAATAATGCTTACTTCTTGTCTATTGATGTGAAAATATGTCCATAAAGTATTAAGTTAAAAAAAAATCTGGTAACAAAATAGCATGTTTTTATCCCAAGTTTGTTTAAAAACATATTTACAGGGAAAAACTCTGGAAGGGCATATACCTTATTGATCTTGGGTGAGCGTGACGGGTTAGATCATGGCAATTTTTATATTCTTCCTAAGTTTGCATCATGTGTTGTTTTAACAGTGAATATATATTATTTTTACAACTCAGAAAATTATCTCCATTTTGAAAAAAATAAGACCAGATATCATTTTTTCAATTTTATTTTTAGACAATACAATAAAATAATTTTTAACTATAATTATAGAAATATTAGTACATTACAACATTGTAATGTTGTCAGGATATAATAATATAAAATATTCAATATATTTTAAATATATTTCATTTGGTTACAGAGTAAACATTAAATTAAGTTTAGTTGCAGTAAGTTACATTTGCTGCATAGAAAAATCTTTGTAAGTTAAATTAGCACTGAAATTCAAATTTAGCATTATTGTAATACTTTCATAAATAAGTTAATAATGTTTACCTTGCAAAAAGAGAGACCTCTGAGAAATCCATTATTTTAGCACACTGTGAAATTCCAAAGTTGAAGCCCCAATTTTAAAAGAAACAAGGTATTTACATTTTATCTACAAAGGTAAGTCTGCATAACACTATAAGCTACTCCTAGGCGTCTGGAAAGCGAGGCAGGGGAGCTGCGTTTCAATGGTCAGTCTCAGACGTGTGACATATGGCGGAGCAGCTGTTAATGGCTTCACTGGAATGTAAGGCTTTCGCACAGCCTGTCTTTGTCAGAAGTTAAACACTGATAAGCGGCCAGAGGAGAGGAGGCTTGGCTAAGCGGAGGCCAGTCCTTTGGCTGTAGCAATCTAGGGCTTTCCTGGATTAGTAAAATTAGCCGACCTTCAGGGCGTTTGTGATCTGGGACTTCAAAGAGAGGGACAGATGGAGCTATAGCAGCCAGGGGTGCCAGGTAACTGCCCGCAGAATCTTCTCTTGGCTGTTTGCCTCCAGCACTTGTTCTAACATGGAGTGCTTTGGCAATCGCCTGGAGTGCTTGTGAAAATTCACATTTCTGGGCCTTACCCCCTAGAGTTTCTGATTCTGTAGGTCTGCGATGCCCTAAAATGGGCATTCGTAGCAAGTTCCCAGATGCTGCTGATGCAGCTGGTCCAGGGACCACGCTTTGAGAACTACTGGCTTACAGAGGGTTTGTGGACGTCAGTTAGCCCTCTATGCCATTATTGTACGATTGGGACTGTAGGGTATTTGTAGAGCAAAAAAGTCTTAATATGAGGTGAGTCTACGTAAACTAAGTAAAATGCACTTTATAACGTTCAAATGTACAAATGTCTTGATGGCAGTCATGTGAGCAGCGAAGGATGGGAACCACAGTCACGGTGTGTGCTGTCCTGTGCGGTCACACCTTCACTTCGCAACTGAGACAGAAGCAGTGACCTGAATTTGAATATCAGCACCACCGAGGCCACCTGGGGGGATCAAGAAGCATCTTCAGAACTTGGCCTCAGGATACCTGGCCTCAGATCCATCAGAGAGTGTCACCATCAAGCACAAGTGGTTTCTAGAGTTTTGCAGACCTTTGTTTTCTTAACATTGTTCCTACCTGGCTTCTGCAATGCCTAAGAGAAGCTAGATATCCTGGGCTTTCCCTGGGCAAAGATCTTATTTGTAAACCTTTACA